CCCCAAAACCCCAAAACCCCTCTATTCAAAGTATAAATAGTAATTTGTGACAGAATATAATCATTAATTAAAATTTTTAAATGAAATTTAAATACTTAGACATAAAATTCTTTTAATAAAGATTAAATGGAATAATTTAAAAAACAATGATATAATCTGAAAAAGAAGAAAAATAAATCTTAGGCTCGCAAAAAGTTTCTGATCTCATGATAGTTTTAGCCAAAAAGATCATGTTGTTAGTTAAAAATACAGTTGGAGGAAAAAAATTCATTAAAATATTAAAATCACTACCAAATTTAGAATTAAGTCAGGATGATAATCTATTCGATCTATTAATACTGGGTAAACCAACAAAACTTTACCCTCAAATAGATCCTTCAAATACTAAAGTTGATCAATTCACTATTAGCGATTCTGCAGTATTGAATTCATAATCTACAATCATAGATTCTCAAACATCAAAAGGGCAAAGCTTAGATCAATCTCTTGCAGTCTATACTTAAAATAATGAGATAATTTAAAAACGTGTCCCAACAAATACTGATAAGTAAGTCTTAGATAAAACAAATTAGATGGAAATCCCTAATCAGATAAGCAGCATAGATCAAGCATTCATGACGTATGATAAAGGAGTAGTTCAAATCCAATAAAGACTTGATTTGTTAATTAACTAACGATCCTAAGATCATCAAGAAGTAATGACTAAACTTGAAGCAATAAATTCTTAGAACCAAGAAACCAGGAACAATGCAAATGAAAATAGTCAGAAGTTTGGTTAATTAAGGAATATAAGTAGTCATATTTAGCAGTCTTAGGAGAAATTTCAATCAGAAATAGAGAGATCATAAGAGAATATTCTTTCATCATCAGAAATTAGAAGGTAAAATAAAGAATAAAATATTGGGCCATTTACTGATAACAGAGAAGTTTAAAGAGATTTAAATTACTTCCAAAGACGAAATAAAAGCAGTGATGATCAAGCTGACGATGGGAATAGTAAAATAATAGCAAAAAGTGACAGTAAATCTAGGAAAAATCATTTTGAGAACTATTAGAACTTTAAAAATGATGCAAACACGAAGAAATTTAACCAAGTACAAGACAGATATCTGAGAAATGAATAGGATAATAATCAACCTTCGGAAGGGTATGTGACAAAAGCTTAGATTGATTCAGTGTAATAGGAGTCAGGGAGAGTCTAAGATCAAGCAATCGTTCAATTGAAAAGTTAAAATAGAAAAAGTAGCTAGAAATCAATCAGAAAAGGGCATTAGTAATTAAGTCAAGATCCTATATTCAAGAAAGGTGGATTAAGAAAATAAGACTAAGTATTAGCAAAGATTATATCAAGTCATAAAGAAAAGATGAGAGTATAGCTACCTAAAGATAAGAAGCAAACTGTCGTGTTCCATAATAACTTCAATGGCAACCTAATCATTGGATCTAATGATATCTGTACAAGAGTTTACGAGAAGAATCTCTAAGATCTTTCTGAATTTTCATTGCCAGCAGAACTTATATCAATAATGGCCTACCCCGTTAATAATCACATCTTTTGCGGTCTTAATGATCTCACTGTTGCCATTTTAGATTAGGAAGATTACTCTATGGTCTGCTAGCCCTTAAAAACAAAAGAAGTGGTATAGAAATTTATTCTTTATACTCATTAGAGTGCCTAAGACTTAGACGATATTGATTTAATCATATTCTTAGAGAGAGATGGCTACCTTGAATTTTATAGTCCAAGAAAAGGTCTTATAGTCTTTACATATCAACATTCTTGCAAGCTAAGCATTTAAGATGGAATTTAGGTAGTTAATGAAAATCAACTATGTCTGGGCTTCGCTTAACTGGTTGATTAAGCTTATAAATAAGGATAAGTTTCTTTTCTAGAAATAGACTTGCAAATAATTAAGAAGAAGGACAATAGTAAAAATGATGAATACATTAGTGAGTAGATAGCAGTAAAAGAGTTGAAGAGTGAGGATAGTTTTGTTGGCAAATCTGTATTCTGCATCCAGCAGATTTCATCTAATGTCTTCATCATCTGCATCATCGATAAGATGATTAAAATTCTAAATAGAAAAAATCCTAAGGAAATCCACGACATAGCGAACCCTTCTTAGAGCATAAACTATAACTCATTGATAAAAATTGATGGTTTCGGAGATGATCTTCCTTATTTGATATTTAGAGACTCAAGGAGCATTGGCATTATCAATTGCAAGACATTAGATGCTAAGTTAATTTTAAATGAAATTTAATACGCTAGATGTGGAAATGTTTTTAGCTTAGAGTAGGCAAGAGAAGATGATGGAAGTCTAAGCTTATATACTTTTACTTTTGAGAGAGAGAATAATAAAAGAGAATTAAGACATATTTCAATCAATATATGAAGTAAGGTAGTAGTTAACTCAGAATTTAATAGAAATTGACCAATTTGATTAGGCAATTCTGTTCAATTAAATATTGGTAGTACCTAGTTGAGCTAACATATATTTTATTATCCAATGAATATTTGTTATTAATTATTTTAGCTAATAATCTTGATTTCATAATATTTTACTCATTGGGGTTTTGGGGTTTTGGGGTTTTGGGG